GTGAGTTCATGTGTAGCAACTAAATGGAAAAAGAACCTTAATCAATGATCAAAGAAGTTAATTCCGTTCTTTATTTTTCTTAATATAAAAAGATGGAGAATTTGGCAACCTTATCCAACGCGGTTTTATCTTGTTAATTGCTAGATGCTCGATGTTTTTTTCTTAGTAAAAAATAAAAAATTCAAAAAAAATTTAACAACTATTTAACAACAATCGACGCGTGAATTGGCCAAAATTTGTACGTACTAAAAATAAGCATTTGTTTGACCTTTTTAGAAATATGTATAAGACTCGTAATATAACTTAATAAATTATAAGTACGCGATTAATTGCTTTCTATTCAAAAGGCTGCGGGATGTTCTTTATCCTCCTTCCATAATGGGTCCAACAAAGCTTTTATTCATGTTTCCTTAACGGTGATAGATAAATGAATTCAGGTTTCTATTCATTTTTCCTTAATGGTAAGAGATAAATGAATTTAAGCTTCTATTCATTTTTCCTTAATGGTAAGAGATAAAACCTCTCGAAATTAGGATGCACCAATTAAATTTTTGGCGTTTAGTCTCCCGTTTTACATTTATTAAAATAAATAAAAGAAAAGATTAATTTATTTATTTTATTAATTTATTTTATTGTGAGAATCCGATATAAAAATTATTATGATCCTTTTTTATTCTGTTTTACCTTTTTTTTTCTGTTCATTTACAAGGACAAAAAAAAGGTTTTTGTTTGCTCTATGAAAATATCCTCTTCAACCTTCCTGTCAAACAATGTCAACGTCAAAGTACTTATTCAATATCACCGAAAAATATGATAAACAATTCAACATTCATATATACAAAGATGAAAATAACATCCAATATATTATATTTGTTATTGAGAATAATACATATCGATTTCTTCTCCCCGATGCAAAAAAAATTACATTAAAAGAAAAACTTCGAGATATCAATGCATTTCCCCTTTTTAGAATGCTTATTCAATTCAATTTTCAAGAACTCGCAGATTCTAATCAAAAGAATCGGTTTAAAAACCAAGATATTTCCAAGCTCACAGGAAAGATGTGGAGGTCTTCTAAAGAATTCAGAGAAGAATTTAAAAAATACACAAGCCGGGTAAACCTTCTCCGTCCTAAACCTCAATATGATTTTAAAACTCAGGATCCTTATCAAAAACCAAATAGAGGAAAACGTTCATACAAACCTTACAAAAAAAGTGGAAATGATATATCTATCATACAACAATTAACAGGATCTTCTTCCGAATTATTTACCGAATCGATTTATAATGGTACTCAGTGGCAAAATGACAAGAATAACACGGTAAACCATCCTAAACAGGGTGACAATATTGACAACGCAAAATTACCAGCTAATAACAATGTAGCCACCTCCAATGATATCACATTCAATCCATTAGCGTCTTTGATTTTTCCTGACGCGACGTCACTAGAAGACTGTCCAATGGCAGAAGATTTTTATTATCTTATTGGAACTCATAACGTTGCTGAGCAATTTAATCTAGTGCAATATGATAATAATTCATCAACTTTAAATTTTTATCAAGATAATTCTATTCTTCCAAATAACATCACACCACATTCCAGCTTTAACATTCCAGTAAATTTAGGCACATATGGTTTTCGGCAAGATGGGCATGACTTTAGCAATCTATATAATTCAGATCAAAACTAAATACACCAAAAACATTGTTCTTGGCCCATCCTTAAAAAATAAAATAAAAAAAATGGTACACATTGTTTTTGGCCCATGCATTATTGAGATATGCAAATCAATCTTTATTTCAGCTGTTTATCACTATTTATATTCTTGACTAATTATTTTAAATCCAAAATATGTACTAATTAATAATAAATTATTAAAAACAAGATAAAACTAGATTTATACGTATTTTAAGTCGAACAAATTACTAGTTCGCATATTAATAATTGCACTTAAAAAGAGATAAATAAAAAAAGTCAAAAACAATGGGTCAGGTGGATTAGAAAGATTGCTTTGCCTAAATAAAAACATGTAAAAAACAATTTCGTTATGTTATATACAATGTTTATGTCAAATGTATATTTGCATACTACATTTGGCTTTTTTGGATAGAAAACACGTTCCAATTTTGAAGTGTTGCACTTTTATTTAAAATGTACATTATTGTATTTTCTTAGAAATTGGTACATTGTATGTTATATTAATTTTTTCTATATAAATGCTCTACCATAAAAGTCCCTTTAATTAACAACTAACCGATAAATTAACCGTTAACGTCAATTAATTGTTAAACAATTAACTAATTCATTATTATTTTATTTATTCCACATTTTTGTCAATTAATGTAACATGACATCACATGATAATTTAATTATGATGCATTAATGCTGTAATGCAACAAGATTTTACGATCATTATGATGTAACAATTACGTACTTTTAAAATTCAGATATTATTATGTAACATGTACGTAAGTCAGAACGAAAAGTATATAAAATATTTTCATACGCAAAAAGTATCAATCTAAATCTTTCAAATTTTTAAGTTAAATTTTTTTTACGCGTAAAAAAAAATAAAATAAAATAAAAAAATGGGACAAGAACAAAAAAACAAAAAAGAAATGAGATCAACTGGTCGTATTATGGTCATTGCACCTGGTAACTTATATAAATATTAGATGTATTATCTCGTTATGATTTTCGATAATTTTTAATAATAGCATTGAAAAGAAGGTAAAAATTTTTTTCTGTTGGATTTAGGTCCGGTAACAAAACTTCCAGTAGATCATGAACCACCAAGTCAAAATAGTCATACACCATATTGGAATGACTATGAAAGATTCCATGATAATTCTAAGCGTACAAAGCTTGGTGGAAATCAAACAGTTACATCTCCGAAATCTATTAGAATGAATCATAATGGAGGTTTACAACGCATGAATAAGATTGGAAATTGTGGTATTAAGGTAATTATATATTTGATTATACTACAGTCGTGGGTTTAAAAACTTGTAAAAACCAACACTAATATATATATATTTATTTTTAAACGAACTGCGTTTATTCGTTTTAGTCAAACTAAATTGATGGGTATAGATATCAAGGATGCTTTGTATTTATTTTCTTTTGAAAAGAAATAACTTTTTTGTAAATATTTATCAAATATATATATATATAAATATTCAGTCTTAAACTTATGTTTATATTAAAATAAATGTCATAGTATCTAGTATTTTATGTTTAATCAATGAAAAATATGAAAGAAATAGTGATTTCATTTATTCATTACTGCAGATTAGAATAGGTAAAAGTCATTTATTCGTATGCATTATTAAATTATATATCATCTTCGATGTAAAATACACTCTTGTCTTAGTATAAATCTGCCCTGAGTTGTATTAACATACAGATGAGTGAAGGAAACCGAAATGTATGAATCGTCAAGAAGAATCTAAGCCTAATTGGTTAGATCATTTTTTTCTTTTAATAAATTCACTCAATGAATAATATCGAAGCTACTAGAAACAGTATTAACTGTACAATACGTCATATAATCATTGCCGGAATTTACAGGGACAATTATAGATTTTTTCCTTCCGTTATTAATATTATGTATGTATTTAAGGTTAACATAAACTCCGCTCGAAAAAGCGCCAAATTACTACATCAATCAAATATCCATTTACTAATAAATACGTGATATTATTATATTTAATTATTGCCTATATATTGTATATACAATAAATATACGTGATTTTTATAAAACCTAATTTACAAGTACTCTTACTGAATTAAATAATAATTTTCACAAACGGCATATAGTAATTATGGTTGAGGATTAAGTTTTAATACTTGAGCTTTTTAAATTCAAGAAATACAAATTTTAAAATTTGAATCCAACTTCGAGTGTAATCTTTTCGAATAGATTATTATTTTCAACCATAATTACATCTTATTGAATTATAACTTAAATGATTGAATAATGCAACTAATAATTATGTATCAATGACCGTTTTATTTGGGTCATATTCAAGGTTCCATAGTTGGTTTAAGGGAACTTCTGCAGGTCCTGGCGTAACTACTTCAAAACGATGAATCAAAAATTAATTTAATGTTATAAAATAAATTTAACAGTTTATTAAAACTTACCTTCATGCTTATCTTTCAATCCCTTTCCAAAATTATTTAACACTTTAACTCCAAACATCAATAATAACTAATTAATCAAATTATATATATGTTAATAATAAATTTTACATTTAAATTGGTTTAACCATTAAAAAACATTGTTTTACATACTATAGAGTTTAAGATTAATACTATGACTATAAAGATAAAATTAAACAAAAGAAATTAGATTACAGTAACTAAAAAAAAAAAATCTATCGTTCAAATACTCACCAAGAATTGACCCAAAGATCCAAATACTTCCGATCGCTTTATACACATAAATTAAGACAGCGAACACTAATGTAAAATCAGCAATAACAGCGAGCCATAAAATCAAGAATATTATCATCCCAATTTTATATTCGTGTTCGACCTTAATAACATTTAAGTAAAAAAAAAAAAAAAAAAAGAATTAATTTAATATACATATGCATATAAGCACATTCGTATTACAGTATTATGATACATTACCAGTTTATAACCAACTATTTCCAAGATAAGTACTAAAGCAGTAGCAAGATAATGAAATATTAATAATGGAGTTGATATAATCTCTGTAAATCTATCCATTCGAGAAATGAGAATAGATGCTAGCAAAAACAGTACGGTGGCAAATAAGTTGAGTTTCAATAACATAAAAAAAGTCAAATAATCCTTGCGCATTGCTGTATAAATGCATGAAATCATTAACATAAATAAATATAATAAATGTTAGCATGCAATAAAATTTAAATAATATCTAGATATGTTCTCTTACCTTGCATTTTTGGATCGCCTCCATATTTCTTGTAAATATCCCACCCAAATTTATTATATAATTTAAAAGATAAATAAGCCACAATGATTGAAAAAAGGAAAACAAGAACTGTACAGATAACATCTGATATCAAAAGGATTTTGTAGTCTTGACTTTTATGTAAATTTTGATAACCCTTATCAGTTGGTGGTATACAATTGACAAAGTCGTCAAGTTCGTATGATACAGTAACAACTTCATAAATTTGAACCTGTAATATTTAAATTTACATTTAACTTCATTATTTTAATAAAGAAGAATCAAAATAAAATTTACTTACAAATCCGTATATCGACCACCCAAAATTAAATATATTAATCGTTATAATTTGAACAATATGTTCTTTAAATACCTAATTTATTTTATAATATTAATACTTTCTATTCATGTATAAATATAAAACAAAAAAAAAAGCAAATAAGTGGTATGTGATATTTACCGCATTAAAACAGAAATATAATTGGAAAACTTGAAAAGCAATAAATATAATATTGTCTAAAGTAAGGTATGGAAACTTTGAGATATTTAAATCTTTACATTCACTAGTATGATTTGCATTGCTAAAAGTTGAATTATTTTCATTCCAATCAGAATATAAATGTAAATTTTGAGAAAATATAAAAGCTTGGAGGATAACGATTGCGATGCATTGTATTATTGTGGTTATAATAAAGAGTCTTGTGTATTTTGTGGATGTTATCTTATTCCACTTTTTGGGATTTTAAAAAAATTATTGAAGTTAATTATTAATGAGAAATAAAAAAAAAAAAAAATTAATTAATTAATTTAAAATTTTCTTGCATTTATTAACTCACGTTCTCAATCAATTTCTTTTTAATATTGACCGTTTTTTTTAAACGCTTAACATTCCTCTTAATTTCATCTAATTTGAAATATTTGAAATCGCTTTTTAATTGAAAATATTTAAAATCCATTATAACATTTAATGTTTTTTATAAATAAATGAACGAAATCATGAGCTCATTAAACATACGACTACGTCGAATGCTGTATAAAACAGAAATCATCGTTACTTTATAGTATATGTGAAATGTAACATAGCACAACCTAAAAGTGGTAATGTATATATAAATATAGATTTTTACAAATTCAATTTCTTAACTTTAAACCTGATGTAGAATTTCATTTGCGTTTGGTAGATCAAAGGAATCATATTAAATAAACAATGTCCTTTTTTTAAACTATAAAATACTATGATTATCTAATTTAATCTAAAATATTCCATAAATTGTCACTAAAACTTTAAATTTTATTTATTATCCGTTATGCACTACTTTAGGATAAAAATCAGTTTTGAAAAAAGTAAGAAAAATTAACATTAAATTCCGAAAGTTGAAAAATGATAAGAAAACTGATCTAAATATATATAAGTATCTTATAAACGTTACAAACAGTTTCATATTGTACTTCTGTAACCCGGTTCACTCGGGATTGTTTATCCGGATTCTTTATGTGCATAGAAGTAGACTATACCTGGATAAGATATGTAAGACGTCTGATTAAATACACAAAATCAATTTGCCGTTTTATATAAAAATAGTAAAAAGGGTAAAAAAAATAGTCGTATGTCAATACATAGGTTTCTTTATGGTTTTGGAATGCAACAAGAATACAATGAAAGCTTTTTTTTCTATGCAAATCTTCATTTGATTTTTAATGAAAGTTGGCTTCATTCGAATATACTTTAAGAAGTTGAGAAGAAATTT